GGCTGTGTGTTGCCAGGGACCCTGTTTAGTTTTACACTGCTGAAAAATGGTTTATTGTTGAATGGGGGGAAGGTGCAGGAGGACTCGAGACACTATATCCAGTTCAATTATCAAGCTCCAATACTGCTGTAAGAAAGTCAGTGCTCCATCAGCTGATCGTCTGCAATAAGCAAAGGTAGCCTTCTGGAAGACGACACTAAGACTCTATCCTGCACAGCATCATGTATGTTTAATTTAACCACCCTGTACATTTATTTTATATATCATGTGTGCATTGCTTTGCTAGCCCTGTATGTAATTGTTTTATTCACCTATACGCATTCCTCTATTTCACCTCTGATTTCTGACTGACCTCTGACCCCTCTCTTCTTTTATTGAAAGGTTTGTTTTTATTGGAATAACTATCCCTTCATCTCTGTGCCTAGATACATATCCCCCACCCTCAGCTTTATTGCAAGCCTATCTGACCCTCACTTATCTTTATTCAACAGCCTGATTTCATAGTATTCAAGCCCCAAAACTCCTGTAAGAAAATCTGATACCCGCAATCCCCTCCCCACCCCATGCTCATTATTACATTTATAGATTGTCAGTCACACCCAAATTTTAGATAAGTAAAAATAACAGGTGTACACACTGCCTCTTATTAGTACACTCCTGCACTTTCCTAACCCATAAAACTTAATATTTACCCTACTTTCACCAGCTCTTGATATTCCAATTATTTCCAATTTACTTTTTCCCAGTTTAGCAATGATCTGTCTTCTCCTCCTCTTTATTTCCTCCTTCTCCCTCAGTATAAAAATCTCTCCTTACACCCACTTCACTCAACCCCCATCCACATTTACATATACCCCTCTCTGCTACACTCCCCCCTTCTCTGATCTCATGCCTTGCACTCATTTTTCGACTCTCTCACTCCTACCCACAATCAATCTCACCTCCTGTCACTTTCTCTCCTCCTGCTTCTAGCAGCTGGTGATGTCTATCCCAACCCAGGGCCCTTCACCTTCTTTACACAGACTAAGAAAACCAGAAGCCCCACAAACCTCATCACATTACCCTGCACTTTACCCTCACTTACCAACATTCAGTGTGCACTTTGGAACGCCCGCTCCATCTGCAGTAATTTAAAATCAACAGCCAT